GGAATGACAGAATAGGTTGTGTTTGTGGTTTTACCCGCACAATCTAGGGCACCCCACCTCTACCCTACTGAGGGTTTGGGGTGTAAGACACCTATCGTTAGCCACGGGGCTCAGAAAGAAACCTGGTCAATTTAAGTGCCTGCCTTTTCCCACGGGGCTCAGGACTCTACGGACCTTTTCCCAGTGAAAGTTTCTTACCAAGCTGTGCTCTAAACATCTATTTATTAGCAACTTACACAGAACACAAATACCAAACAAATCTCTTATGCTCACCACTCCCAATATACAGACAAATTTCAGCCAATGGCCAGTCAGGATCCACCCATCTGGGGGTTCCCTGCCCCCATACACGTCATGGTCGTGTAGTGAGTACGATGTTTTGCAGCTTGTTGTACTGTAGTCTGAGGTTGATTCCCGGAGAACATTTTTCATTTACATTATATGGGTAAAACTAGCTACCGCCTTCAAATTTACTAAACATATCATTATCCTACACCCCTAGATAAGAAAGATTTTAACCAATTACACACTCCTCCTTCCTGACCACGTTTTTTAACATTGTATCTTTCACGCCCAAATTGTAACTTAGTTGTGACCATCTCTATTTGTGCAGATAACATAAAAATGATGGTCAGAGCTTATCTTACCATTTGTTGAGTCTCTTTCTGTATCCTCCCTAATTTCCCAGCGCCTGGGAATCTCTACTTTACAACCTGGTGGTTATAACTCTCTTCAGAGACATTCCTGAGGTGGGGGTGCTTTATCAGCAGCAGAACATTCTTTTTTTCAATTTTAAATAAATAAATAAATAAATTAATGGAGATATCCCATCTCCTAGAACTGGAAGGGACCTTGAAAGGTCATCGAGTCCAGCCCCCTGCCTTCACTAGCAGGACCAAGTACTGTTTTTGCCCCAGATCCCTAAGTGGCCCCCTCAAGGATTGAACTCACAACCCTGGGTTTAGCAGGCCAATGCTCAAACCACTGAGCTATCCCTCCCCCCTTTTTAGTTTTTAGTGGTGAACTCCCTGAGTTTCACCCAAGGCTAGTTTAATGTGGGGACGGGGGGATGATCAGGTCTCAGGCCAACAATGGGTAGTTGGCACTATATGTGAAAGAAAGCATAGAGTCAAATACAGTTTAAAAAAAAAGGAATGAATCAAACTGTGCCATACAGTCTCTATTGATAGAACATAAGAATGGCCATACTGGGTCAGACCAAAGGTCCATCCACCTCAGTATCCTGTCTACTGACAGCGGCCAATGCCAGGTGCCCCAGAGGGAGTGAACCTAACAGGTAATGATCAAGTGATCTCTCTCCTGCCATCCATCTCCACCCTCTGAGAAACAGAGGCTAGGGACACCATTCCTTACCCATCCTGGCTAATAGCCATGAATGGACTTAACCTCCATGAATTTATCTAGTTCTCTTTTAAACCCTGTTATAGTCCTAGCCTTCACAACCTCCTCAGGAAAGGAGTTCCACAGGTTGATGGTGTGTTGTAAAAATAAATACTTCCTTTTATTTGTTTTAAACCTGCTCCCCATTAATTTCATTTGGTGGCCCCTAGTTCTTATATTATGGGAACAAGTAAATAACTTTTCCTTATTCACTTTCTCCACACCACTCATGATTTTATATGCATCTATCATATCCCCCCTTAGTCTTCCCTTTTCCAAGCTGAAAAGTCCTAGCCTCTTTAAACTTTCCTCATATGGGACCCATTCCAAACCCATAATCATTTTAGTTGCCTTTCTCTGAACCTTTTCTAATGCCAGTATATCTTTTTTGAGATGAGACCACCACATTTGTATGCAGTATTAAAGATGTGGGCGTACCATGGATTCATATAAGGGCAATAAGATGTTCTCCATCTTATTCTTTATCCCTCTTTTAATGATTCCTAACATTCTGTTTGCTTTTTTGACTGCTGCTGCACACTGCGTGGACGTCTTCAGAGAACTATCCACAATGACGCCAAGACTTCTTTCCTGATTAGTTGTAGCTAAATTAGCCCCCATCATATTATGTGTATATAGTTGGGGTTATTTTTTCCAGTGTGCATTACTATACATTTATCCACATTAAATTTCATTTGCCATTTTGTTGCCCAATCACTTAGTTTTGTGAGATCTTTTTGAAGTTCTTCAGAGTCTGCTTTGGTCTCAACTATCTTCAGCAGTTTAGTATCATCTGCAAACTTTGCCACCTCACTGTTTGCTCCTTTCTCCAGATCATTTATGAATAAGTTGAATAGGATTGGTCCTAGGACTGACCCTTGGGGAACACCACTAGTTATCCCTCTCCATCCTGAAAATTTATCATTTATTCCTACCCTTCCCTCCCTGTCTTTTAACCAGTTCTTAATCCATGAAAGGTTCTTCCCTCTTATCCCATGACAACTTAATTTACGTAAGAGCCTTTGGTGAGGGACCTTGTCAAAGGCTTTCTGGAAATCTAAGTACACTATGTCCACTGGATCCCCCTTGTCCACGTGTTTGTTAACCCCTTCAGAGAACTCTAGTAAGGCATGATTTCCCTTTACAGAAACCATGTTGACTTTTGCCCAACAATTTGTGTTCTTCTATGTTGGGGGGAGGGATGGCTCAGTGGTTTGACCATTGGTCTGCTAAACCCAGGGTTGTGAGTTCAGTCCTTGAGGGGGCCACTTACGGATCTGGCACAAAATCAGTACTTGGTCCTGCTAGTGAAGGTAGGGGGCTGGACTCAATGACCTTTTGGGGTCCCTTCCAGTTCTATGAGATAGGTATATCTCCATATATTTATTTATGTGTCTGACAATTTTATTCTTTACTATTGTTTTAACTAATTTGCTCGGTACTGACGTTGGACTTACCAGTCTGTAATTGCCAGGATCACCTCTAGAACCCTTTCTAAATATTGGCGTTTGTCAGGGTTTCCTCCCCACTCGAACTCTGGGGTACAGATGTGGGGACCCGCATGAAAGACCCCCTAAACTTATTTCTACCAGCTTAGATTAAAAACTTCCCCAAGGCGCAACTCTTTCCTTGTCCTTGGATGAGTACTGCTGCCACCACCAAGTGAGTTAGACAAAGATTCAGGAAAAGAACCACTTGGAGTTTCTGTTTCCCCAAAATATCCCCCCAAACCCCTTCACCCCCTTTCCTGGGAAGGCTTGAGAGTAACCAAGGTGAGCACAGACCAGACCCTTGGGTTTTTAGGACACTAAAAACCAAATCAGATTCTTAAAAAACAGAACTTTATTATAAAGAAAAAGTAAAAGAAGCACCTTTGTAAAATCAGGATGGAAGGTAATTTACAGGGTAATCAGATTCAAAACACAGAGGATTTCCCCTCTAGGCAAAACTTTAAAGTTACAAAAACGGGGATAAACCTCCCTTTTAGCACAGGGGAAATTCACAAGCTAAAACAAAAGATAGTAATAGCAAGGAAATGCATTAGATTATTTCTGTAATATTGGATGCTTAGTTCAGATATGGCTTAGGGAGATGTATTTTCCCTGCCCTGGTTCCTTGATGATCTGAGGAAAAGTCCCAGATTGAGGTGCTGATAGGGGAGGTTTTGGAGCAAATTGATAATTTAAACATTAATAAGTCATCAGGACTAGATGGTATTGACCCAATAATACTGAAGGGACTCGTATATGAAAAGTTCAGAACTACTGACTGTGCTATGTACCTTACCACTGAACTCGGCCTCTGTACCAGATAACTAGGGGCAGCTAATGAAAATAATGTTTTTTTAAAAGTCTCCAGAGGCAATCCCAGCAATTAGTGAGCAGTAAGCCTAACTTTAATACCAGGCACATTTTTGAAACTATAGTAAATAATAGAATTATCAGACACAAAGGTGAGCATGATTTGTTGGGGAGGAGTCAACATGTCTTTTGTAAAGGGAAATCATACCTCACCAATCTATTAGAATTCTCTGGGGGGGTCAACAGAAGTGTGGACAAGGGTGATCCAGTGGCTATAGTGTACTTGGAATTTCAGACATCCTTTGATAAGGTCCTTCACCAAAGGGTCTTAAGAAATGTAGGCAGTCATGGGAAAGGAGGGAAGATCCTCTCATGGATCAGTAACTGATTAAAAGACAGGAAACAAAGGGTAGGAATAAATGGTCTGTTTTCACAGTGGAGAGAGGTAAATCGTGGGGTCCCCCAGGGATCTATACTAGGGCTATTGTTGTTCAACATATTCATAAATGAGGTGGAAACATGGGGAAATGAGGTGGCAAAGTTTGCAGATGATGCAAAATTACTCCAGCTAGTTAAGTCTAAAGCAAACTGAAGCGTTACAAAGGGCACTCACAATATTGGGTGACTGGGCAACAAAGCAGAGGAAGTTTAATATTCATAAATGCAAAGTAACACACATTGAAAAACACAATTCCAACTAGAGATACAAAAGTATGGTGTCTAAATTAGCTATTACCACTTAAGAAAGAAATGTTGGATTCATTGTGGATAGTTCTCTGAAAACATCCACTCAGTGTGCAGTGGCAGTCAAAATACATAACAGAACATTAGGAACTGTTCAGGAAGTGATAAGTAATAAGCTAGAAATATCATAATGCCACTATATAAATCCATGGTATGCCACACCTTAAATACTATATGCAGTTCTGGTCAGCCCATGTCAAAAAAGATATTAGAATTGGAAAAGGTGCAGAGAAGGACAACAAAAATGATTAGGGGTATGGTAAAACCCCCATATGAGGTCTATAAAGTCATGAATGGTGTGGAGGAAGTGGATAAGTGTTATTAATCCCTTCACATAACACAAGAACCAGGGGTCACCTGATTAAATTAATAAGCAGCAGATTGGGTGTCAAAGGATCTCAATGGGTTTAGCCCTGGTGGAAAGGATTGGGTCTGCACTGCAATAAAGTGACTAAGTGTTTTGCCATAGGAGAGCCTAGAACATGTCTCTGCAGGGAAAGAGCCTGGGGGAATGTGCTGTGAAATTCACTAAAACTGGTTATGAAATCTCTTCAGTCCACCTTCTTACCCTGACGGCCTGCAGAACGACATCCACATTTCACTCTGGATGGGCCCAGCCTCCTAGGGGACAGGGAAGGAAAATGGCTGCCTTGGAGCTGGCTCAGGTAGGGATTATCAGGGAGTTGCTGGTGGGTTCCCTCTGCACTGACGCGGCAGTAAACCCATAGAAGGTCGGAGCTTCTGGGAAGTTCAGTCTGAAGGTGGGAGGGGGCACAAAATCCACAGGCTGGAGAAAAGCAGGGGGGACAGGGTGTAACAAACCTGCTGGAATTTGTTTTAATTGGGGCTTAGGTTCTAGGAACAGGCCCATGGGGGTAGGGAGAGGAAACTGCCCGATTTATGGGACAGGAAACACCCCTTCAGACAGGGCTGGAGAAATTACCAGACTGCCAGTGCTGCAGCCTGAACCCACTGACCAGAGGCTGCTGGGAGGTATGAAGGGGCTTAGGGGAGATGCCCTATCCTCTCACTTCAGCTGATGGCAATGAGGAGGGTGTTTAGATTCCCACCAGGGAGCTGTCCCTGGGCACAGCTGGGGGCTCTGTGTCCTATATCAGCCTATGAGGCAAGAGAATATCCTCCCATGGCGAAGAGAGGGGAGGGACAAGGGCTCTCTTTCTCCCCTTACCCTAATGCCTACTGGCTGCTCTGAGCAGGGTGCAGATTGGACTCTGCTGACTGTGTGCATCCCAGAGCTTTCATTTGATGGACCCTGCACCCCTGTGAATTGTGGGGTTGTCAGTGGGGCAGCAGGTACTGAGTGTTGGACTCTTGCTCTTACAGGAGCCAGTAACCTTTGAGGAGGTGGCTGTGTATTTCACCAGGGAAGAGTGGGCTCGGCTGGACCCTGCTCAGAGAGACTTCTACTGGGACGTCATGCAGGAGAACTATGAGAATGTGACCTTGCTGGGTAAGGATTCCTGTCCTTTCCGGTATTAAAAGGGGAAATGAAGAGTTGAGGTTCATATCACCCCACAATGCAACTTCAACTCTGCCCTGTTTCAGCAACACATCAACATGCCAGTGACACACATACTAGCACTCTCCCCTCCCCTGCTAGAGAACACTTTGGGAACAGAGCACAGGAGCAGTATAGCACAAAGTCTAAGGTCTTCTCTTTGCAAAGGCAAAACTTGGGTTTAGATCTGGCATAAAGAACAGAAGTTGCCTATGCCTGGCCACCAACCAGCTCAGACTTGCGAAATGTTGCCACCACCCCTTTATTCCCCTCCCTCCCCCAAGGATTACTGCTGAGTCATTGCCTTCACTTACCCCTCACTGAGCCCTGTAAACAACTGACACGTATGCCACCAGAGTGCCGACAATCCCCCTCCCCTGGCAAGAATACACTCTTGTGCACTGTCACTGACACAACCTACAACACAGCACTGAAATGAGGCATAGTTGGTTTTTCAAGGTTCACATGCACCTCTTCATACCACAGTCACAGCTCTGCCAAGCTGCTCCAACTAATCCCTCCACCTTTCAGTTACAGCTACACCTGACACAGTGCACACAGTTGGGGGGCATGCAGATAAATGCTGGTATTCCAATCTGGGGAACACAACACAAACAATGACATGTTCTTAGTCCTTCCCCATAGATATTATTGATTCATCAATTAAAAGGCCAGGAGGGACTATTAGGTCATCTAATCAGACCTCCTGTACAACAGGCCATAGAATTTCATCCAGTTACTGCTGTACAGAGCTGAATACCTTGTGTTGGACTAAATCAGGGGTCAGCAAACTTCGACATGCAGCCCAGCAGGGTAATCTGCTGTCAGGCAATGAGACATTTTGTTTACGTTGACCGTCTGCAGGCACAGCTACCCGGAACTCCCAGATTATCAATCAGATTAGTACAGCACTATACAGAATACAGAAAGCAATAGATACTAGGCCTGCCAATTAATCAGTTAACTCAAGCAATTAACTCAAAACAAATTAACTTGATTAAAAAAATTAATCCTGATAATCCAGTTTAATTGCACTGTTAAATAATAGAATAACAATTTACATTAATTATTTTTCAATGTTTTTCTACAGTTTCAAATATATTGATTTCAATTACAACACCGAATACAAAGTGTACAGTGCTCACTTTATATTATTTTTTATTAGAAATATTTGTATTGTAAAAAAGATAAAAGAAATAGTATTTTTCAATTCAACTCATACAAGCACTGTAGTGCATTCTCTTTATCGTGAAAGTGCAACTTACAAATATAGGGTTTTTTCCTTACATAACTGCACACAAATAAAAAACGGTGTGCAACTTTAGAGCCTGCAAGTCCACTCAGTTGTATTTCTTGTTCAGCCTACCGCTAAGACAAACAAGTTTCTTTACATTTACAGGAGATAATGCTGCCTGCTTCTTATTTATAGTGTCACCTGAAAGTGCGAACAGGCATTCACGTGGCATTTTTATAGCTGGCGTTGCAAGGTATTTGTGTGCCAGATATGCTAAGCATTGGTATGCCCCTTCATGCTTTGGCCACCATTGCAGAGGACATGCTTCCAAGCTGATGATGGGTTCTGCTCAATAACGAGCCTTAATAGATACATTACCACCCTTTGTTGTAAGATTAAGAGCTGGATCTATGTCTCTCCTGCATCTGGAAGGAAAGCACAGTTCTCATTCCCCCAGCTAAATTCCCATATCAGTATCATTATATAGAGTTTTAGACAAAGGAAACCTCATTGCCAAGAATATTCTCTCAGAAAAATGTTCTGGTGTCCTTTCTATACATTCTCAGTTTACCTAAGAACATAAGAATGGCCCTACTGGGTCAGACCAAGGGTCCATCTAGCCCAGTATCCTGTCTTCCGACAGTGGCCAGTGCCAGGTGCCCCAGAATGAATGAACAGAACAGGTAATCATCAAGTGATCCATTCCCTCTCGCTCATTCCCAGCTCTGGCAAACAGAGGCTAGGGACACCATTCCTGCCCATCCTGGCTAATAGCCATTGATGGACTGGTTCTCCATGAATTTATCTAGTTCTCTTTTGAACCCTGTTATAGTCTTGGCCTTCACAACATCCTCTGGCAAGGAATTCCACAGGTTGACTGTGTGTTGTAAGAAGAAATACTTCCTTTTATTTGTTTTAAACCTGCTGCCTATTAATTTCATTTGGTTACTCCTAGTTCTTGTATTATGAGAAGTAGTAAACAACACTTCCTTATCTACTTTCTCTACACCAGTCATGATTTTGTAGATCTCAATTATATTTCCCCTTAGCTGTCTCTTTTCCAAGCCGAAAAATCCCAGTCTTATTAATCTCTCCTCATACGGATTTGTCATGTAGCTAAATGACACAGCTACGCTGGCAAAACTAAAATGAAAATCTGCATTTGGATTCGAGTACTTTAAAATATTTTTTCCCCAGAAATTTTGGCATCAAGGCAAATCTTCCAAAGGGAACCCCTATAAAATGTAAGAAAAAAGCTCAACGTACATTGTCTGAAAGCTGTAAATGGTAGGGCTCAAATTCAAATGTAGCTCCGGTTCAGCAAATGCCCCAGCATGTCCGCTAGAGACAACCAAATTCTGTGATAGCTGATTGCAAGAAACCCTCTGCTGTTAACAGAGCCTTATTCTTCCTACACATGTGCATTTCAATCTCTTTGATTAATCAGTTTGGCTCCTGCTGATCTGAAATTCCCAATTTTACACTTCACTTTTTCAATACTGCTTCCTCAGGGAGGCATTGGGTGCCCTGAACTAGCTGAGATAAATGCCAAGTGACTGTGATCCTTCAGGGACAATTAGAAGCTCACATTCATCCTAGGTGTGTGCAAATGTTGTGAGCATGGGGATTTTCTAAAATGGTTCTTTTTTGGAGGGAATCGGGGGGAATCTCAGGAACTCCTTGCTCAAATAACACCTAATTTAAACTACGAACTGTACCCTGCATGCCCACAGAGAGTAGCAAATGTCATGATAATACAAGAACACTTCTGCATTTCAGAGCCATTCAAATAGTCAACTTTTAAACTGAAAGTAGGGCTCACCATAACTGTGGCAGAGCTGGTGCTCTGCTATAACCTACATATAATACAGAGCAGCTCAACTCCAATGCAGGGGTTTGGAGAAACAGGACTAAGGGTTTGTATACTCATCAAATGCTACAGCCGCAGTGCTGCAGCTGTGCTGCAGTAGCACTTCAGTGTAGAAATTAACTAGAGCGATCGTAGGACTTATCCTATCACCATAATGAATCCACCTACCCAAGAGGAGCTAGCTAGGATGATGGAAGAATTCTTCCATTGACCTAGTGCAGTGTATGCTGGGGGTTAGGTTGGCTTAATTATGTCACTCAGGGGTGTGGATTTTTCACCACCCGCCCAGAATGATGGGTCAACTTAACATTAGAATGGCCCAAGGGCAAGTGGGGAGGGTGGGGTTAGTGGAGGAAAGGGGGTGGTTTGGGGGGGATCTAGAGCTGCAGGGGATCCCAGCCTATTATGAGAGAATCCCTGCCCAATCCCTATTGCTGTAGAGCAGGGGTCGGCAACCTTTCAGAAGTGGTTGTTCACTTATTCACTTTAACTTAAGGTTTTGCGTGCTGGTAATACATTTTAAAGTTTTTTAGAAGGTCTCTCTCTATAAGTCTATAGAGGTGTATGGGGTTGTCAGGGAGGGGTAGTACCTCTGATGGGGGAGCAGTCGTACTCCTAGGAGTAGCTCATCCACTTTGGTCCCCACTTGACACCCAGCTCTCACCTGTGGCTCCAAGTAGCTGTCAGCATGCGACAGCGGCCACACCCCGGAGACCGTCTCGACAGGCGGGCTAAACCAGGTGAGGGTAGCTGATGAGTATGAGACTCTCGGTGAGTCAGGGCCTGTCTACCCATTGCATGCGAAGGCTGGATCCGGCTGACTGAGGCAACCTGGTTCAATGGTCAGGAAGGCGTGACAGCAAGCGTTGTGGAACGCTTAAGAGCACGACAAGACACGTAGGCGTCCTGGTCATCCACTGCGCCCTGTCCTATCTCCAGCCGTCTCGACTTCTGTCCTGCCACTGGATACAGATAGGAACTGGGAAGAGAGAGTGAGGCTGACGTTGCGCAACTCTCCCTCACTTTAATCCAATTCACGCGCAAGTCTCGACATCATATCATATTATATCACATCATATCAAGTCCTGTGGCGATGGGCGAGCGACGAAGCAGCAGGTGTGGATACACTGGGAGCTGTAGCCGCGGACCTGCACATAGTGGTCGTTCCTCACTGACCGAAGCAGCAGTGGAGCTCGGCATCTTCTTGAGCGACTGAGCAGCCCTATTCAGGATTGCACTGCTCACCTCCGTAGAACGAGGAGGGGGCTAGAAAAGGTGCCCTAAACATTGCCTGCTTCACCTTACCCTGGCCAGCACACCGCGGCTGGTGGGGATCCCATAAAAGCGGTCGAACAAAAACAAAACTTAGAGTGACACCGATCACTATTGGCACATGGAATGTGTGCACGTTACTGGACAACATCACGGCAGACAGACCGGAGAGAAGAACAGCACTTGTCGCTAGAGAGCTCGCACGCTACAACATTGACATTGCAGCCCTTAGCGAAACTCGCCTTGCTAATGAAGGACAGCTATCCGAGTCAGGTGGTGGCTATACATTCTTCTGGAGTGGCCACAGCAGTGATGAGCGTCGCGAATCTGGAGTTGGCTTCGCCATCAAGAATCATCTTGTTCGGAAACTTGCCAGGTCCCCCAAGGGTATGAATGACCGACTCATGACAATGCAGCTTCCGCTTCAAAAAGGAAAACAAGCTACTTTGATCAGCGCATATGCTCCTACAATGACCAACCCAGAGGATGTGAAGGATAAATTCTATGAAGAACTAGATACTCTGCTATCGTCAGTGCACCGCACAGACAAGCTGATTCTGCTTGGCGATTTTAATGCAAGAGTCGGATGCGATGCCGCAGCCTGGGAAGGAGTCATCGGGGAAAAATGGAGTGGGAAAGTGCAACAGCAATGGCCTGTTACTGCTGAAAACTTGTGCAGCACATGGCCTTCTGATCAGCAATATGGTCTTTCGCCTTCCTACCCGCAACAGGACTTCGTGGATGCATCCCTGTTCCAAGCACTGGCATTTGATAGATTATGTCATCATCAGGAGAAGGGACAGACAAGATGTCAGGGTTACAAAAGCTGTGTGTGGCGCTGACTGTTGGACGGATCACAGGCTCATAGTATCCAAAATGAAGCTCCGTATCATGCCGAAGAGACGACCACAAGGCTGTAAGGCTTTCAAAAGGATCAACGTGTCGAAGCTGAAGAACAGCCGCATCACTGAAAATCTAGCGGAAGACCTAGAGAATGAGCTTGCTGATCTTCGTATTGAGGATGACGCTGAGAAAGACTGGGAGCGATTCCGTAACACTGTCCATACAGCTGCATCGAAGGTATTGGGGCCCTCCACATGCAGGCGGCAAGACTGGTTTGACGAAAATGATGCAGAAATCCAGGCCTTACTTGCTGAGAAGCACCGCCTGC